TTGCTATGCCTGGAGCTCTGCACTTCACCAAGTGACAGTCCTGAATGGATATGGAATAGGCAGCGGAAGAGGAACTGTTCTTTAATTAAGCAAGAAAGGAAGAGATGAAGAAAATAAATGTGGAGAAGGGAAAAATCAAAACAAAGTAAGAGAAAGATCCTTAGATTACACAGCTACGCACCCTGGTCAGTTGCACAGCTTTGCAAATCCCTCCTCCCAAACACACACAGCCCTGGCCCAGAGGGGACCCTCATATGCCAGAGTTTTTGTTGTGTAGTTTCAATCTACAAAACTTATTTCCTAAGCGGCAGTGACCTCTACTCATCATTGAGTACAGAAATCAGCTGTACTCAATGAAGCTACAGGTGACTGAAGGCAGAAATAATGAAAGAACAAGAGTAAGACCTCCCAGAAAGAAGCACGGGTGAAGATGGCTCCTCCATAATGAGCTGCCTCTAACACTGGCTATGAGCACATTTGACTAGGGACTACACACAGTGGTACCCTGCCAACTTACAGCTATTAAGGATCTCATCCTCAGGGCTTTTCCCATAGCAGCAGTCTCCCAACTCACTGAAGGGATAGGATCCAGGTGGATATAGGATCCTGTTGCCATGGCAGGCATCCAAAACTTAGATCCTCAGTTGCCCACACCCACCCACAGCATCTCAGCCATCAGTCTCAGTGCACTTAAGCTTTCAGGCTTATCTGTGCCTAAAGTTAGGCACTACATGTTCATGTTGATCATGTTCAGCACATTAAAACCATTCCTGTGCCAAAGCCCCACAGTGCCTCCAGTACCAGGACTACCCAGGCTCCTGCAGCTTCATCAAGCATCCAGAGAACATTGTGATGCATGCAGTTGAGGCTGTACAAGCAGGAGGAACAGGTGATGGGAACAGCTCTGTCATATCCACCCTAGGGCTGGCACATACATCCAGCACTAAATGCCTTTGTGTTGTGGATTTTCATTTTTTAAATCTGCTTAGGTAACACAAATGCTCAGCATTTGAGGGCTGAACTGCACTGCCAAGACAAGTCTGAGCCTGTTGAGCTTTTCCTGCTTCTTGAACAGTGAACAGCAGTCAGCTGTGCATGCAGTGCCAAATTGAGCCTGGGATGAAGACTCCGTGGGGCACTTTAAATTTTGCGTGGCCTTGTGAGATTCAACTGATTAGTGGCAGTTGATGACAGTGAACACAAAAGGAAATAATGATAAGTGCAATTAATTCCTGTAGAAATTAATGCAACTACTCAAAGAATTTTTTCAGTCATTTTTCATTCACACCTTCTTGCCTGGTACAGCTTTGCTATGAATGTAATTCTGAAATTTATGTGATTCATTTTTGTATTATTTAAATACGGTGTAGTTCACTCAGTGAAAACATTGTTCTGAAAATGTTCTTTGCCAAAAGGCTAAGCTCTAAAATTAGTTTATTGCTAAATAAACATCCCAAGTTGGCTTAAGGAGAATATTAACAAACTTGCAAATCAGTTTTTTTGCAGGAGGTGGGTATTAATCATGCTGGAAAATGTAAATAAATGAAATATCAATAAAAATAATTTCTATGCATTCATGGGAATGCTAATTAGGGTTACAAGGAATGGGCTAACTTTACTGAAAAAGTTATGGAAAATTAGAATCACTTCACTGTGGTACTGATGCTTAAAATGTATCCTTTAGGGAACTTCACATCTCTATGTTTAGAGTCCACAACATGCAAGACAATAGAAATATCTAGCAGGAAAGCAGAGGTAAATGGGCATGGGATTTCCCTGCTCTCTGAATAGAAGAGGGAGCTGAACATACTCTTCTTTATTTGGACTCACAGCACATTAAAGGAGAGCACTTCTTTGAAAATATGTTTACATATTTCTTACAAATCATGATTAACCTATAGAAATGCAATGTGACAATATGGCAAAAGGAAATAAATGTGTATTGGTTGCTTTCTGCATGATTAATGCTTCTTTCCATCAGACACATACATTTCATTTTATTAAAGATCACATTTCTGATTGCAAGAACTTGATCATAAATAAAGCATGCAAGTGGAAGTTGGAAATCTTTTAATATTAATGACAAGAAAAATGGATTTATTGAATAGTCACCTGCAGTTCATACATACATAAGCACATAAAATGAAAACCCAGCAGAGGTACCATCTCCAACTTGGGAGAAGAGATTCTGTTTCTTGAATAGCTTAATAATAATAGCACTACATTTAGAGAAAATTATTTCTGTCTTCTGTGTCTAAGAAGAACAGAATAACAGCCATTTATCAGCTACTTTCTACCTTGTCACTTTATCATTTTGAAAAAAAATTTAGATATTATAAAGTTTGTCTTGTTGAAAACTCAGTCTAGCACTGGTGGACTTCAGTGCAATAGTTTTGAACTCTTGTATTTTTTGCCAATTTGGAAATTGGGGGGGGGGGGGGGGAAGAGAAAAATAGACAAGAAAAAAAAGAAAAAAATTGAGTTTCTGATGAATAAGGAAAATATTAAGAGCTATTCAAATGGGATTTTTTTTGTCCAAAGAACTGACAGATGAGAAATCAAGTGTATTATTGAAAACATTATAGCTCTAGAAAAAAAATTATCATGTCAATAAACAAAAATAATGGAAACAGGGCTAATAGCCTTGGTAGTACAGTGTTGACGAGGCTGCACAGGGAGTGTAAACATGAATAGAGCATCCAGCAAAACTGCTAAGGAAATTTCTAGAGCAGTATGGCTGGTTAGGATGTAAAGCAACTAGAAATTTGCTCCCCAAGCCAGCAGGCTGCAGAAGTAATATGGTCACACTGTGGAAAGCACCTGCCAGAAAATTTCTGTGAATGCAGCAATAGTTTCCCTATCACCCATACCAGGCTGCCTGCCTGCTTAGACCACATGGAAAGGAACATCTGAGGACAAATACCTGTAGCTTTGTCCCCATGGATGTCATATCCAGGTGAATCAGGGCTGATTCACGTATCCTGAAGCCGCTGCCACCTTTCTGGCATTTACTCCACTAAGCTGCTTCCTGTGCCCCAGCTCTGCTGGGCAGCCCCCCTTCCTTTCAGTGACCCCCAGCACAGCAGCTCCTGGGAGTGACTCTCCTTTGGTCAGTGTCTAAGTGACCTGGGTTGTTGCAGATGACTCCATTGCATACTGAAGCAGTACAGAACAGAGAGGGCAGAGATGGGAGATGCAGGGGGTAAGCAGCAGGTAGAAAAAGCTTGAGCAAACTTTGGGCTCATAGTGAGCCCCAAAATGTTTTGCAAAGAGCAGCTGTGGAAGATCTGCTGCTTGCATGTCTCCAGCAGCCAGAGCAGTTTGTCCCAGCTGTCCCAGTATGGGACATATCCTCCAAAGGATGCTTGGTGCATCCAGGGATTCTGAAAGCTAAACTGAAAAGAGGTGGTTTCCACATAAGCATTCTTACAGGATCTAGCCATGACTATGATTTATCTATCAAAGAAATTATTTTTAAAATAAATAATAGGACTTAAAAAAAAATTACAAGTTGGCTTTTTGTTCCCTACTCCTGTTCACACAAACTCCATAGAAGTTTCAAGACAAATCTACTGACTTTAAAAAGGTGCCCTCCATGCAAGGTTTCAGTGCTACAGCAGTCACACATGCAGCTATAAGAGAACAGGAGCTACCATGGAAAGCATCATTTTCATGCTCAAACAAAAAATAATTAAATGGGAGATGATACATGCCTCATAACAATAGGAAATCACCTGAACAGCTCCTTGAAAACCTATTAAAACAATCTCTTACTTCCAAGACTTAGAACGAAATTAATATAACCTTAATAAATAACTTAAAATTAAAACTTTAGAAGGCCAATTGTGTAGCAATCATATGAGGTAGTCATATGAACCACAAAAAATAATTATAATCTAAATATTTTCAGTTCCAATTAGGGAGACCAAGAGTGAGATCTCTGTGTTTCTGAGTGGGTGCTTGCTTATGCAGACTACATGTGGGAAGGGGGTTAGGCCACTTTACAAGTTTACATCTCTGTTTAGAAACACCATCTCAAAAAATTATACAGATAGAATTAAAGTTGACAGAACTTGTCACAGTTCCATCCAAAAGGAATATATTTTCCTCACTTTAATTATCCAGATACATATCTTAAACCCACACCCAAGCTCTTGCTTCTAGCAGTCTCTTTCTCTGGCTGGTGTTGACAGGACTGGATCCAGCAGCATCCTGCATGTTAGCAGCCACCTCCACTGCCTGTTTCCACTCAGTTCCTGTGCCAAGCACCATAACCAGGAGGGAAAAGCACATGTGCCTGCTTGCATATGTGTGCTGTCACACACGTGCATGACCAGATAATATAGACAGAGAGAATTATTTAAACTCTTACTTTATGCTGTGCCAAAAATTGGGGAACAGGTGCACTGATGTGAGCTGATTGTATCTTACTATAATTCTAGTGAATTAATCATTGCTCTCTCCTTTTTCTTGTATTTTTAAACTAAGTTTCTGGTGCCAAAGGTTTTTTGTTTTGGTTTTTTTCTGCTTTGATTGATATACAGATACAGTCTCTAATGATTTTCAACGACAATTCAAGAACAAGAAACTCTCACTCTCTCTCTGCTCACAACCCTCATTCCTGGCCCATCCTTTCCCTTGTGCTGACACGATTGTTTCTAGGGACACCCAGGAACTGGCTCAAAAAACTTGGTTTCAATTTAAAATAGCACTGAAAAAGTAGATAAAAACTAGGAATATTTTAATCTGAACCTACTCCCTACCTATTTTTCCTGCTTTAAATAGATCTATATCAAAACAACTGCAGAGGCAGGTATGGGTCAGGAAAATCAGCTGAGGACAGAAATCCTCTCAAGATCATTGCTGAAATAGAAGAATATGAAACTACACTGTTAAACTGTACCAGGTATTTATTTAGCCAGTTAAAGAAGAAATGCAGAGCTTGGGAGCTAAGGGTAAAGTCCTGTTTGCCATTAACTACAAAGCAATGCAAAGAGAGAGTTCAAGCCAATCTTCGAGTGTGCCAGTAGTGTTTAAAAGGTATTCATTAAACAAAGCAACTGCAGGAACTGTAAGTACATTTCATGTAATTACTAATTTTAATGCTATTTTCTTGCAGAATTTTTCATGGTTATGGTGAATTTATTTAGTTTAAGGGCTGAAGCAGACTATTTTACTTCACAGACTTATTAATTATATGTTCTTACTACAGTGCAATAACATTACTTTTTGCAGGCATTTTTCCCCTCAAAAAAACCCCATTATTGCATGATAGAATTATCCACCTGCAACTAACTCACTTTTGTGGAAGAAAATTTGCAATAAATTATACTTCAAGATGAGTACACCATCTATCCTCTAAAGAAGGATGAAAATATTTACATGGGAAACTTTTGGCAGAGAACTAAGGTTTTCCTAGAAAATCCTGGTCTGCTAAGAAGATCCTTTGCTGTTTTCTTGGTTTCTCCATAGTTCTTTAAGATGAATTTTCATTAAAAAATACAGATCAAATTCTTCGACAAGTTATTTCACAGTTAATTCACAATTTGCTCAAAAATCTTGGCTCCATTAGAACAGCATATTTAGGATTTTTACACAGCACTATTCGTCAATAATTACTGAGGTGCTTGGGTCTGATTTTTCAAAACCTAAATTTATATTTGGCTACATTTTCAAATACTTAATGTCCTCCTAGAATACCTCATAGTAGAGTTAGAATCCAAGGTAGCAAGAAAGAGGTGTCTTACGGGTTTGGTAAATATTTTAATTTCTTCAAAATACAGGAAAAAAGAATTCCAGAAAACATGGAAAACATAATTACAGGTTCCTGTATCAAATTCATTTCATTGGAACATAAAATCAGTAACATAAAATTCTGGTGAATTTTTAAAAATTAATGGCATTCAGACACAATCTGTTTGAAATTCTCTCAATGACAAAAGCAGTATCTCTAGGATAATTTCTGTCAAAAGGAGGAATTTATATAATTCACAATATATTGCTCCAAACAGCCAGGCTTATGAAGAATTAATGCAAAATCAGCAGAATAAGAATAAATACTCTCTTTGCACACTTTTTCCAAATCTGTCCTTCCCCTCAGTTCCCTGCTCTGCTTCTGAGCTAATCTTTAGTGTCTGACTGCACCTTTTCTTATTTGCTGGTTGTCCTTTGCTACTTGTGAAACAATTCCCTGCCATCTGGATTTATGTATCTCTTTGGCTGAGTTTTCACTGGGTATTGCCATTTGGCCCAAATATCTGCTTCTCTCTCTTTTAAAATGTCTATCAATATCCATAGGTTGATATTGATGGTGTTAATGACTTCCAGCTTGACAAGAGGATGGTGAAGGTTCATAAAATTTTCATTTTGACTCTGAGTTCCCATTCAGCTATTTCCAGTTCTCATAAAGGGTAGTGCCCTGTCTTTATTCAGACAAGTAAAAAATCACACTTCCCTTCTCTGTTTATTAAATCTACAAGGATCTGAGATAGGGATCCAAAGCTGTCTTAGAGTTTTATATTGTCATGTATCACAGCAGCTTCAAAGCACTTGCATTTAGAAGGCAGCTTCTGCTCTCATCCAGGAGCAAATGGGCAGGAAGGAGGCAATGCATGGAGTCTGATGTTTTGCCACTGCTCCTTGGAATTGGAAAACTTATGTTACAACTTTTTTTTTTTTTTATTTGCTATATGGCTAAGCCTAAATACTTAATCTAATATTACATCCCAAGTTATATTATAAATATTATTTGATTTGTTATTTTTGGAGCCTGTATGACAGCATTGGTTTTCATTCCAGATTACATCTAAAATATGAAAGAGAAAAAGGCAGACAGATTTCCTAACAAGTTATATCTGTTTATCATCAGTTGCCAAGAAACTGTACAGTAGCTTAGAGAAATGGAGTGGTTTTTTCTATGGCTTACGAGTCCAGATCAGCAGAGGATCTTAAGAAAGTGGGGATCCACATATCTTGTAAAATTTATCTCTTGGAAATAAAACTTTAGCCTAAATTTATTTAGTGCTAAACCTAGCACAGCACGATTTTTCTAAGACTGAAATCCTTAAAGAGGCATTCATATAATAATGCAACCAGAAATTGTTTTCATGTCTGTGACATCCTTTCTCCATTCGTACAGCTCACAGTCTATCGACTACAAGGTTTTATTTGCTTGTATCTCTTAGAGACTACAAGAGACAGACCAGGAGAGCCTTTCCTGTACTATGATCAGCCAGGTATCATTAATTAACCACCAATTAGAAGACATTACTGATGCTTATGTATATAATATTCCTGAGAAATATCTACAGAACAATTGTTTCTATAGGAGCTTTGTAAATATGAGCCCAAAGTAATATAAAGCATTATCAGCTTATTAGCACAATGTAATCTTTGAGTCAAAAAATTCTTCATCACAAAAACATGCCGGTGAAAAGATCTGAATATAGGGCAGCAGTTCTGGTATTTTCAGTAATTGAACCATTCTCTAACTGTAGAAATAGAGAGGAACCATAAAGAGACAAGAACTTTTCTTTCTGGCAGTGTAATCACATTTAAGTCCCGGTCAGTACCAAAGTTAATCAAAGGAACAGGCATCATTACAAATATTAACTGTAATTTTAAATACCCTGCAATAAAATCTGCAGTTAACTTTCACAATCTTTCAAAATATGGCTATGACACTGGAAGAAGTGATGTACCTGCAAATGCAATAGCTAAACCTAAAGCTATTTAAATATCTTCATTTAAGGGCTTCCTGGAACTGTTCAGTAGTATCTGATGAATAAAATAACTAAAAATTATTTTTTCCATAATCAGTTGAACCTACTAGAATAACCATGATATTAAAAAAACCCAACTATTCTCCCATCACATTTATTCAAGTGTTGTCCGAGATGACTTACAGGAAACAAAACAATATAAATATCAATATCTAAGCAATGTCTCCAGGAGCAAGTAGATTGTATGAGGAGATGTAAGTTTACTAAAATGATTAAGCAATTGTTCCTTGTCCCTTTCATGTTCTGAGGGTATTCATATCTCTCCTAACTGAAGGGGTTGTTCATTATGACTCTTAAGTCAGGCTGAGTTGCTCCTATGCACTCAGTTTGCTTACCTTTTAACTTACCAACACCGATTTTATTAACGTTTATAGAAATTTGTATTGGTTTTACATTGATAATTACTTGCTCCTCTGAAAACATACATAAACCATAGCTTTATTTGCTCAAAGTCTTGCCTCCAGATACTTTAAGTTCTGCAGTTAAGAGTTACAGGATAAAAGTGAAGATCTGCAAGTCCATATTCAAGATTTGGAACTGTCCAACCAGCGAGACATATCTTACTTTTTCTTTTTTCTTAAATAATGTTTCACTTACAATTTGTAAAATAAGATAGCAATATCTGCCCCAAGATTCATATATGGAAATATTTTATTGTTCTTCCTGTAGCTGATTCACAACCATTCATAGAAGCATAGGAGTCGTCTCTTAGTGAGGAATTCTTTCAGAAGGAATTCTTTCAAATTCTTTCAGATGCATAGCAGCAGATAGGTGAAGTTTACAAAATATCTTAGAAAAGGTAGCTTAAAACAATGCTTTTTCTGGATGTCCAACACACACAGCTGACAATCCCAGATGCCATGCATATGCTGCTGATGCTCCTGGACTGCTATCCCAGTTGTCAAGATCCTAGTGAGATATGACACAAGTGATGGATCTCTGGACAGTTAATGTAACAAATGAAGCAAACATATCATCTGATTCAGAGTGTGGGCCCCAAAATTTCAGGTTTTTCACCAAAATTACATTTAGGTTTAAAATTCCCAAAGTATCTGCCTTTTTTTTTTAAAAAGCAAGGTTCTCTGCTTGTCCAGTGTACCTGAAAATACACCCATGTCCATACATGGGACATAATTAGTCCAGAAGAGATTCCACTAGTAATAAATATTTGGGTGTAGTTCTAATAGGTATAACAATGTGTGATGAAGTCATCTCTTAACAGAGGCTCAGATTAAACTCTTGACTTTTGCAAACAAATCAGGATGCCTCCTGATCTCCCTTTCTGGAATCTTTTTGAGCCATAAAATTACTGCCCAACTTGGTTAATAATAACAGCCATCAGCTGTGGAACAGATATGATACAAAAGAAAAGTTGGTCATTTTGAGCAAATCAACCTTCTCTACAAACTTAGAGAAGAAATCCATAAGGCAGACACTCAAATGCAAAATTACAGCAATACAGCATTAAATCCTCAGCTAACAAAACTGTTACTGGCTGAAGAGACACACTTTTACTCCTTTTTTAACATCTATCACCTTGACATGTAAAAACTACATGTTTTATCTATCATTAAAAAATTGTCTTTAGACATTTTTAGTAGTATGTCACTGCAGTCTGTTTGCTGCTCCACTTGCTGACTTTAAGGGTTTCAGTTCTGAAAGGATCAGAGAGAGAAAGCCAAACAGACAAGATGGATTTTCACTTTGTTCTTTTTATTTCCAGTAAATATTATTTCCAGTAAAAGAATATAGCATAAATTAAATGTGCCAGGCCCAGTCCCTTTGAAGTTCTTACAGGAAGGTGTTATACCTCCTCACAAACTCTCACATCCTTCACAGAATAGGGAGAACAAGTTAAAAAGGGGAGCTGTGGGCTGGGTAGCTTAATACCACATCTATCCTTAGCTTCTATAACATACCTATGAGGCTATAGATGGTCAGGGAGTCTGAAGCTGCTCTGAGTTATGTCTGGGACTCATTCCAGAAAAGAAACTGCAGAAGTGACATGAACTGTTCTCTCTCCTTCCCAGCTAGGCCAGTGATTTCTCTGTTGCAGGCTTATTCTTCCTGGGACTCCCTGAAGAATCCCAGGCACACAAACACATCATGTTGTAAAGCAGAGACATTGCTATCCCTTGTAGAATCATCAGGCCACAACAGCTTAAAGATTCCAGGTAGACTGTGCCCATTGCTTTCTGGAGTGACACAGAAGGAGGCTTACTCTTAAAAACACTACTTCTGAAATGAGCATTTGCACTTGCAAATGAGATCAGTAGAGAATAGAACTAAT